TTCTGGTCCTGGCCTGGTGCTAAGTATGGGGATAGAGAAATGAGTCAGACACAATCCTTGACCTCCAGGACTTCACGGTTGCATGGGTGAGATGGACGAGTGAGTCAGGTGCTGTGACAGAATACATTCTGAGTGTGTCTAAGAGCACTTGACCCAGCCTGCGGAGGTCAAGAAGGGCTTCCTGGAGGAGGCAATCCTTCAGCTGAGGCGTGAAGGACTAGAAGTTAGGTAGGTGGGAGGACTGGAGGAAGTGGGAGAGAGTGTTTCAGAGACCAGCAAAGGTAAAGGTAAAGGCGTGAAACAGCCTGACTTATTTGAGAAATGGTAAGTAGTTTCATGTGGTTGGAATGAAGGGTGGGGTAGTTGAAGAAATGAAGGCTCTCTGTGCTAAACTAGAGTCTGGGCTAGACACTGTGATTCACATTTGTAATCTCAGCTCTTTGGGAGGCCAAGGTGGGTGCATCCCCTAAGCCCAGGAGTTGACCAACCTAGTGAGACCCTCTGTCTAAAAAATATATTAAAAGTTTTAAAAAAAAAGTCTAGCCTGGGTGTGAGGCTGAGGCAGGAAGATTGCTTGAGCCCAAGAGTTTGAGACCAGTCTGGGCAACATGACAAAACCCCATCTCTACACAAAATACCTCAGCTTCCCACAATGCTGAGATTACAAGTGTGAGCCAGCACACTGGGCCAGGACTCTTTATTTTTCTATCAAAAAAACGTTTATTGGGCTGGGCATGGAGGCTCACACCTGTAATCCAAGCACTTTGGAGGCCAAGGCAGGAGGATCACCTGAGGTCGGGAGTTCAAGACTGGCCTGACCAACACAGTGAAACCCCGACTTTTAAAAAAAAAGTTTATTGAGCACCTGCTACCTGCCAAATCCTATTCTAGGTGGTAAGCAAAATTAAAAATAATAAAAAATCAAAAATTATTTCCCTTATGCAGCAGTGGGGGCAGGGGACATCCAGTAAAAAAGACAAACTATATAGAATGATGTATGGCGAGATTACGAAGAAGGGGAATAGAAAATTGGGACTGGTTTTTGCAAGAACCAGAAAACCCACTCCAAGTGGCTTAAGCAAAAAAGTTACTTGATTTACTAATATGAGTAAAATGTACATGCAGAATAGAAAGACATTTGGCTGGGTGCAGTGACTCATGGCTGTAATCTCAGCACTGTGGGACACCAAGGCAGGAGGATTGCTTGAGGCCAGAAGTTTGAGATCAGCTTGGGCAACATAGCAAGATCCTGTCTCTATAAAAAATAGAAAAAGTAGCCAGATGTGATGGCATGCACCGTAGTTCCACCTACTTGGGAGGCTGAGGTGTGAAGATGACCTGAGCCTGGGAGGTTGAGGCTGCAGTGAGCCGTGATTGTGCCACTGCACTCCAGCCTGAGTGACAGAATGAGAACCTGCCTTGAGGGTGCAGGGAACAAACCCCAAATAAATAAAATCCACCTTCCTTACTTCACAACGTCTCTTAGAAATCAGTCCTATCAGTGTATAGGGAGTGTCCCATTCTTTTTTGCCACTGCACAATATTCCAAGGAATCCAAGGACCCCTTCCGTTTCAAACCTTGCCCAGCAGCCTGGGTTCGTATAGTCCCTGCCAGACTTGTCTCTGCTCTTGGCCAGAGAACATATAGGTGGGCTGGGTGGGAGGCAGGGCTCTGAGGGTGGGCCAAGTTCCCTGGCCTATCTGGGGATTCCTGGAGTTAGGGTGGAGGCTCACATGTTCCTGCTTCCCAACTCTGCCCTGGGAGGCATCCTGTGGCCCCAAGCTTGTTCCTACTTTTGTTATTTCAAGAAGCTGCCGTGGCTCATTTCTGGTCCTTTTTTCCCTTGTCTCTGTGGCCAACTGGGTCACCAGCTGGCCTCAGGGGCCTCCACCCATCCCGCATCCGTTCTTGACCTCTCACCCACGCAGACATCCAGCTGTTCCACAGCTGTGTCAGAGCCCCCAGGTCTGTGTCCACATTTTCCGGGGCAGTTGCCAGGCAGACAGGGTCACCCTTGGTCATGGGATAAAAGGACTCATATAATGAGTACCTACTATGTGCGAGGTTGTCTGGCAGCCTTTTGCAGGTTAATGTTTAATTCTCATAACAATTCTGCCAAATAGATATTCTTATTCCCATCTTGTGGTTGGGGAAACAGGCTCAGAGAGCAGATGTCAGAGCTGGGTAATGATGGCAGTGCCTGAATTTGACCCCACTGGTGCCAGAAGCCCTGGTTACCCTTGTAACCCTTGGGGTTCCTGAATCATTAAGCAGTAACCCTCAATAAATATGTGCGGAATGCATGAATGAAGGGATGAATGAATGAACGAGTGAATTTGAGAGACAGTTCCTGAGCAAGTCCTATATGCCAGGCACTGGTCTAGGGGCTAGAGATAGAGCAGTGACCAGACAGCTTCCTTGGCACTGAAATTCTAATGGGGAAGAAAATCTAAACAAGTAAGCAAGCAAACAAAAATAAGATAATGAGGAGGGGGGCAGTGGCTCACTCCTGTGATCCCAGCACTTTGGGAGGTGGAGGCAGGTGATCACTTGAGGTCGGGAGTTGGAGAACAGCCTGGCTAACTTGTGAAACCTTGTCTCTACTAAAAATACGAAAAATAGCCGGGCGTGATAGTCCACGTCTGTAATCCCAGGTACTCAGGAGGCTGAGACACGAGAATTGAACCTTGAGGGTGGAGGTTGCGGTGAGCCGAGATTGTACCACTGCACTCCACACTGGGTGACAGAGCAAGACTCTGTCTCAAAAAAAAAGATAGTGAGATAGTGATAGGCTCTGTGGGAGAATTCTCATAAGATGAGGTAGTAGGCAGTAGCTAGGTCGGAGTGATGGTGGGTGTGCCTAGTTGAGATAGGAATGGGGTCTCTAACGAGGTGACCTTTGGACTCAGATCTAAATGGCAAGGACAAGCCAGCTACACAAATAGAGGGGAGAGGATTCCAGGTAAGAGGAACAGCATATGCAAAGGCCCTGAGGTCAGATGAAGCCTGGTGTGTGCAGGGAACAGGAAGAATGCCGAAGTGGCTAGCGTAGAATACAGGGAGGGCTGGAAGTTCAAGACTCAGGCTACAGCCAGATGAAACAAGCGTGTGGCAGCCGCATAAAAGCTTGGAGAGGTGGGGCCCGGTGCAGTGGCTCACACCTGTAATCCCAGCACTTTGGGAGGCCAAGGGGGACAGATCATGAGATCAGGAGATCGATACCATCCTGGCCAACATAGTGAAACCCTGTCTTTACTTAAAAAATATAAAAATTTGCCCTGTGTGGTGGTGGGTGCCTGTAATCCCAGCTACTGGGGAGGCTGAGGCAGGAGAATCACTTGAATCTGGGAGGCGGAGGTTGCAATGAGCCAAAATCGAGTCACTGCACTCCAGCTTGATCACAGAGTGAGACTCTGTCCCAAAACAAACAAACACCAAAAAAACCCCAAACAAACAAACAAAAAACTTTGGAGAGGCTATGAGGCTATGAGGTGCAGTTGCTCCCACCTGTAATACCAGGTCTTTGGGAGGCTAGGGTGGGAGGATGGCTTGAACCCAGGAAATTGAGGCTGCAATGAGCCATGATTGCACCACTAGTCTCCAGCCTTGGGTGACAGAGTGAGACCCTTTCTCAAAAAAAAAAAATATATATATATATATGAAATAAAGTAAAATAAATAATAAAATAAAATAAAATAAAAACATGGCGAGTTTAAGCAGGAGAATCATGTTTTCCCAGGGTGCTGTATGGAGAGTGGGTGGTGGCACGGCAAAAAGGGAGGAGGGAGCAGGTTGAGTGGGTTCCTGAAGTCACCCTGGCCTGAGCAGGCAGTGACCTGGACCAAGGTGGGAGTTATGGAGACAGAGAAGAAAACAGACAGGGGAAGCATTTGGAAGGGGATTAAATAAAATGAAGATAAATTATAGTTGGTGATTCAAGAGCAGAGTCAAGGCTAACTCCTTGGTTTCTGTCTCAAAAAACTGGGCAGATGTGATGGGGCCGTTTATGCGGATGAGGAACATGGAGGAGGAGTTGGTTTTGGTGAGGGCGGTTGGAGAGCAAGGAGAATGAAATGGAGAAGCTCCAGTCTGGACGGGAGGTTCGCTGCGCCCACTGCACCGTCCAGCTGACAGTCAATTAGCAGATGGATAATGGTCTGGGACTTAAGGTGAAGGTAGGGGAGGAGACTGATGAGTCATCCTATGAACAATCGTTAAAGCCTCAAGACTGGAGGAGATTGGGCAAGGAGCGAGTGAAGACAGTCCCCTTCCGGAGACAGGAGAGTGATGAAGATGCTTGTCACTCAGGGTGGAGGGCTGGCTTCCAGAATGGTGACCTGGCGCTGGGCCCAATGGCTCACGCCTGTAATCCTAGCACTTCAGGAGACTGAGGCGGGCGGATCACCTGAGGTCAGGAGTTAGAGACCAGCCTGGCAAACATGGTGAAACCCTGTCTCTACTAAAAATACAAAAAATTAGCTGGGTATGGTGGCGCATGTCTGTAATTCCAGCTAGTTGGGAGGCTGAGGGGGGAGAATTGCTTGAATCTGGGAGACGGAGGTTGCAGTGAGCTGAAATCGCACCATTTTACTCCAGCTTGAGTGACAGAGCAAGATTCTGTCTCAAAAAATAAAATAAAATAAAATAAAAGAATGGTGGCTTGGGACATCCAGCAGCTCAGCCTTCTACCCACACCCAGAGGGGCCTGGAGGGTCCCTGGCTGGGATCGCTGTGATGTTCTGGAAGCTGGATCTTAGCCACTGTCCTCAGAGTCTTTGACCTTTTATCTCAATGCCCTCATTCTGAAGGCCCTGAGCTGTGATCTGGACTTGCTACTTCCCTAACCTCTTCCTCCCAGAACTTCAGAAGCCTGGCTGGGGTTCCCAGGAAACTGCTCTTCTCCCCAAAGGGCCAGGAAACTGGTACAGCAGGTACCTCATTCAAGGTCGCAAGGGTTAGGGCAGGGCTACCTACAGAACTGGGGAGGCCAGTCCCTCACCTATCCATGTCCACTTTGGTTTGATTTATCACCAGGCTTTTGTTGTGCCAAGTGGAGTCTGAAAACAAAAAGGACTCCTCGGAATAATGAAGATGCTCAGCAGGAGGGGAGGGAGAGAAGTCATCCTGGATAACAGAGCTTGAGGAGAGAAGAGAAGATTAATACAGAAGTCTGAAGCCAGATGCTGTGTGTGTACCTGTGGTTTCAGCTACTTGGTAGGCTGAGGTGGGAGGATCACATGCGCCCAGGAGGTTGAGGCTGCAGTGAGCTCTGATCACACCATTGCACTCCCGCCTGGGTGACATGAGCAAGACACTGTCCTTAACAAAGAAGAAAAGTTGACATTTAGCTCGTAATATGTGATGTAATTCTGTATTAGTCTGTTTTCACACTGCTATAAAGATACTTCCTGAAAACAAACAAACAAACAAAAGGCCGGGTGCGGTGGCTCATGTCTGTAATCCCAGCACTTTGGGAGGCCGAGGCGGGTGGATCACTTGAGGTCAGGAGTTCGAGACCAGCCTGACCAACATGGAGAAACCCTGTCTCTACTAAAAATACAAAATTAACCAGGTGTGGTGGCACATGCCTGTAATCCCCGCTACTCAGGAGGCTGAGGCAGGAGAATGGCTTGAACCTGGGAGGTGTAGATTGCAGTGAGCCAAGATTGCCCCATTGTACTCCAGCCTGAGCAACAAGAGTGAAACTCCATTAAAAAAAAAAAAAGAAAGGCTTTCTTTAAACAAAAATATCAGTCATTTAAAGAAAAGAAATTAAGGAAATAAGAGCACAGGTGATATAGAGATATGGAGAAAAAACTTGAGTTATGTCATTTGAATGACTGGAGTTTGGATATTGCCTTCTGGGTTTGTGTGTCTACAGTGTGTGATTGTGAGTCTGTGCATGAGAGTTTGCATATGAATCTTTGATTGTATCAGTGGAAATGAGTCTATGTCTGAGGTGGGTGTGTGATATATTTATAAAAGTGTGTGAAAGTGACAGTGTATCTGAGCACATGTTATTGTGTGACTGTGTATAAGGGGGTCAAGGGAGAAACATTTTTCTTATCCTAAGCTTCTCCAAGAAAAATGTACAATGATGAACTTGTTTAAACTGAGCACATCTCTAATAGGTGTGTATCTGTCAGCTATTGCCACAATAGTGCTGTGTAACAAATATCACCTACCCAATTAGTGTCTTAAAACAACAAACATAAATGGGGAGAGACTGCTAATACAATAGGTATGGGTTTCTTTTTGGGGTGATGAAAATGTTCTAAAATTAATTGTGGTGGTGGTTGCACAACTAAAAGCCTGCTAAAAACCACTGGATTATGCTGTTTACATTGGCGAATTTAATAGTACATAGATATTTCACATACTCTTATAAAGCCACTGCAACGAACATTGATTTTTCGCTTGTGAGTCTACAGATCAACCATATGTCTGCTGGAATCACTTGGGCTTGGCTCCTGGCTGCAGTTGGATTCTGGTACGTTCCATGTATTTTTTCTACATGTTTTTTAAATCCTCTTTGGGTCAGCAATTACTCAGGCATGTTCAAGGTGGCTAGCAGAAGTGCAAGGGGATGAGCAGATGTGTAATGTTTCTTAACACCTTGGCTCGGAGCCAGCACACCACTTCTGCACACATTCCATTGGCAAAAAATCTATACCACTATCTACAGCTGTCGCCAAGCCTGACATCAGCAGGAAAGGGAAATAGACTTTCCTCACTCTCATGCATGAAGGGAGTGAAGAATTAAGAACGATAATCCGACCTACCACACCTGTGTAACATGGTGCTTCTGCTCCATCAAGATCTGTTTAAATGTGGCTCCAAGTTGGGGCCATCTTCAAGTCTCCCACCAACGTCTGCTTGTTCCTGGCGTCTTATTTCTTCTTGCTCCTCTCTTCCTCATGCTCCTCCCGGTCTCAGGGCTCTTGTGCCTGTGTGAGCTATCTTGCTCCCACCCCGTGTCAAAGCCAGGTTAAAAGCCCTGTCCCCTCACTATTTTTGAGAGGAAACCCAGTCACACTCAGCATGTAGTACATGTAGCGATTCTGTGGAAGATCTGAAAGGTTATGGAGAAGGACTGCAATTTGCCCCACCTTCTACTGCATTTATGGCTCTGCCACTCTCCCATTTCTGGCTGGAGACATTAGGGAAGGCTTCCTGGGGGAGGTGGCATTGACCAGATCTTGAAGGCTGAAGAAGAGCGAGGCATAAGATGGTGACAGGAAAGAACATTCCAGACAGAGGGAACAACAGCCTGGGTAAATGAGGAAAGGTCTGGCGTTGTTGAGAAAATGCAGTCGTTGGCATGACTGGAGTGGAAGATGTGAGCTGGGGAGTGCTGGGGGGTGAGGCTAGAATGCTGCACAGGCCCATGAAGTGGCTTGTTCTGTATTCAGCTAGGCTAGAACCGCTTTTCTGGAATTACTGTCTCCGAATGGTTCTAGGTTGGCATTGGCCACAGGAGAAATTTGTATAAGATCTGGAAGGTAGGAATGAAACTGAGTCATATTTTTATCTTATTTTTTTGTTCAAGGTTCTCAGCTGGGAAGAACTGAGTCATATTTTTAATGCTAAGGTCAATGCGGAGCCCCAGACACTGTGGATACAGCTTCCAATTGGTGCTCTCAGTTGTCCTTGTGGCTCCCAGTTCATCCTCAGGCTTCCAATTTGTCCTGACTCTCATTCATGTCCAGCCTTCTCCTTGACAGCCGATATAAGTGACCCAGAGACAACGTTAGTGAACAGAGTTCTCTGCCAGCTCCCACAATTGTGTAAGGTCTAAATGCTGTAATAAATCCCCTCTCTGATGCTCACAGTGGATCTCTGATTGAAACCTGAGTGACAGACCTTTGTGTGCCACACTGAGGAGGTGGGGCTTCATTGTATAGACTTGTTTTTCTCAACGTTTTGTCATTTGAGGACTGCAGTGGCAGAGTTAATGCTCAGTGTCCACCAGTCTCTTCTTCCTGGGCTCGTGCTTTAGTTCCAGCCTCCCTTGCAGCTAAGTGGAACTATGTGATGAAGTTCTAGCCAACGGAATGTCAGCTGAAGTGAACTAGGCCTGGTCTCCCAAATTCTTCCATGTGACACCACAGCCTCTCTCTCACTTCTCTAGTTGGCCAGCTGAACGCAGAAGGTTCCATGGCAGACCCAAGGCATGGGGGTTTCAGAGGCACTAGCTGGAAGGAGGCTGAGTTCCTGAATGTCTCTGTGGAATTGAGACTCCCACTGCCTTGCATTGGGCTGTGACTTGAGAAACAGAACTTTGTTAGGTAAAGCCAGTGAGGTTTGGAATTGTTTGCTAGTGTGGGTAGCCAATACCTGTACCATTACTGATTCAATCACTTTTTAAAAATCAGTTTACTCATCTTTTTTTTTTTTCTTTTAAAGACAGAATCTAGCTCTGTCACCCAGAGGTGTAGTAGGGTGATCTCGGCTCACTGCAACCTCCGCCTCTTGGGTTCAAGTGATTCTCCTGCCTCAGCTTCCTGAGTAGCTGGGATCACAGGTGCGTGCCACCAGGCCCAGCTAATTTTTGTATTTTTAGTACAGATAGGGTTTCACCATGTTGGTCAGGCTGGTCTCGAACTACTGACATCAGGTAATCTGCCTGCCTTGGCCTCCCAAAGTGCTGGGATTACAGGTCTGAGCCACAGCGCCTGGCCAGTTTACTTTTTATAGCTTTAATTTATTTGAAAAGAGCTTTTTATTGCTAGTTATAAATGCAAAAGCAGTATCACTCACAGCAGAGGGAAGGTAATGAGAACAAAGAAGTACGATGGCAGTCAAACAGTGATGCTATATTTCCTTGTCTCATAAGGGGCAAGAGCCCCAAAGCCCGAGTCTGCTCTCACTTTGTTATAAAGGGAGATTAACAAGTGCTTGACGGATGTTAAAGACAGTCTGGCATCAAACTAGACCTTTTCTGCAATGTTCTTGAACCAGCATATTCTCATGATTATGTGATAATCACACCATACTTTATGGAACGACATGAGGGAAATAAAGCCGATGAATAATTTTTAAACATTCCTTACTATGGAAAATTTATTTTCTTTCTTTTTTTTCAGACACGGTCTCGTCCATGACCCAGGCTGGAATGCAGTGGTGATCTTGGCTCATTGCATCCTCGGCCTCCCAGATTCAAGCGATTCTCCCATCTCAGCCTCCTGAGTAGCTGAGATTACAGGCATGTGCCACCACGCCTAGCTAAATTTTGTATTTTTTAGTAGAGTTGGTGTTTCGCCATGTGGGCCAGGCTCATCTTCAGCTCCTGACCTCAGACAATCCACCCGCCTCAGCCTCCCAAAGTGCTGGGATTACAGATGTGAGCCACTGTTCCTGGCCTACCATAGGAAATTTCACACACACACACACACACACACACACACACACACACACAGACATCATGAAGATAGTGCCATAAACCCCTGTGTATGCACTACCCAGCTTTACCAACTACAACCCTCTGTCATTCTTACTACATCTCCTACCCCTTACACCCCTTACCTCTTACACTCCCACCCCTTACACCCCTTACCTCTTACACTCCCACCCCTTACACCCCTTACCTCTTACACTCCTACCCCTGCTTCCTTTTCTTGCTGGAATATCTTTTTTTTTTTTTTTTTTTTTTTTGAGACAGGGTCTCACTCTGTCACCAGGCTGGAGTGCAGTGGCATGACCAGGGCTCACTGCTGCATTGACCTCCTGGGCTGAAGCCATCCTCCCTCCTCAGCCTCCAGAGTAACTGGGTCTACAGGTACTTGCCACTGTGCTTGGCTAATTAAAAAATTTATTTGTAGAGATAGGGTCTTGCTATGTTGCCCAGGCTAATCTCAAACTCCTGGCTTCAAGTGATCCTCCAGCTTTGGCCTCCCCAAATACTAGGATTACAGGCATGAGCTACCATGCCCAGCCTGGAATAACTTTCAACAAATTCCAGACATCATATAATTTCATCTACAAACACTGTAATACGTATTCTAACAATAAGTGTGTTAGAAAATATTCACAATACCTTTATCATACTTAAAGAATTAACACTTCCTCTTTACGGGCTAATGTTTTATGTTCAGTTTGCCCTGATGACCACAAAAATGAGGTTTTGCCGTGGGTCTCTTGAAGTCAGGATCTAAGCAAGGACACCTATTGCCTTGATTGTTATGTACTTAGTCTCTTTCTGCCCTGTGGGGGATTGATTGCCAAAAAATGGTCTCTCTCCATATCCACGCCCTTGGCAAGGTGGCTGTGGCTTCTCTTGTTGAGGCAGAGTTTATTTTCAACCTTTGAAGCTGGGCTTGGTCTGGTGACTTGCTTGGGCCAATAGAATGCAGCACAATCAAAGTGAGTGCCGTCTGGGTCCTAGCCTTGATGACTCTACGTGACTCTGTGTGCTTCCTGGACCCCTGCCTCAGCAAGGAGAGCAAGCCCAGGCAGCCTGCTGTGGGATGAGAGATTGTGCACAGAAGAGCTTTGCCGGGTGAGGCTGTTCTAGACCAGCTCATCTTCTGACCACAGAACATGAGATCAGCCCAGCCCAGCTCAGCTGAACCTGGCCCAGACCGAAAGAGCCACAGCCTCTTGTGTAATAATAATTGTTATTTTAAAATCACTAAATGTGGCCAGGTACAGTGGCTTGCGCTGTAATCCCAGCACTTTGGGAGGTCCAGCTGGTTGGATTGCTTGAGCCCAAGAGTTCAGACCAACCTGGGCAACATGAAGAAACCCTGTCTTTACTAAAAATAGAAAAATTAGCTGGGTGGTGTGCACCTGTTGGTCTCTGCTGCTCAGGAGGCTAAGGTGGGAGGATCACCTGAGCCCAGTATGCGGAGGTTGCCATGAGTAGAGATCTCACCACTGAACTCCAGCCTGGGCCATAGAGCAAGACTCCATTTCAAAAATATATATATAAATTAAAAAGTTGGCTGGGCATGGTGGCTGACACCTGTACTCCCAGCACTTTGGGAGGCTGTGGCGGGAGGATCACCTGAGTTTGGGAGTTCGAGGCCAGCCTGACCAACATGGAGAAATCCCATCTCTACTAAAAATACAAAATTAGCTGGTTGTGGTGGCACATGCTTGTAATCCCAGCTACTTGGGAGGCTAAGGCAGGGAAATCGCTTGAACCTGGGAGGCGGAGGTTGCGGTGAACCGAGATTTCACCATTGCAGTCTAGCCTGGGCAACAAGAGCAAGACTCCATCTCAAAAAAATAAGATAAAATCACTAAATTCTAGTGTAGTTTATTATATAGCATTATTGTGGCAAATAGATAACTGATATAAATCTACAAAATTCTTCCTTTTTTTTGAAAATGTCATTTACTTGCTGAAGACCCTGGAGCTTGGTCCTTCAGTTTCCAACATTTTAGATTTTTGCTAAATACATCCCAGGTGTTATTTATTATTAGCCTCCATATTCCTTGTAAGAGGGTCGTTAATCTACAGGCTGGATTAGAGTCACATGGGGCTAAAACACTTTATAGGGATTCTTGTCCGCATCACGTCAGGAAGGACTTAATGTTACGTTATCCCACTTGGAGTGATGTCAAGTTTGATCAGTGGGTTCAGTGAATAATTTTAGACAAGGTTGGGATACCCAGGGGAGACTTCCTGGAGGAGTGAGGTTTGAGTTGAGCCTTTTTTTTTTTTTTTGAGATGGAGTCTCACTCTGTTGCCCAGGCTGGAGTACAGTGGAGTGAGTCATTGCAACCTCTGCCTCCTAGGTTCAAGCGATTCTCATGTTTCAGCCTCCTGACTAGCTGGGACTACAGGCATGCACCGCCACGCTTGGCTAATTTTTATATTTTTAGTAGAGACAGGGTTTAACCATGTTGGCCAGGCTGGTCTCGAACACCAGACCTTGTGATCCGCCCGCCTTGGCCTCCCCAAAGTGCTGGGATTGCAGGCATGAGCCACCATGTCTGGCCAAGCCTCTTTTTGAAACTTAATTTTATTTATTTATTTTTAAGACAGGGTCTTTTAAGATAGGATCTCAACTCCGAGTTGAGCCTCTTTGAAAGATGGGTGGAATTTAGATAGGCAGAGAGAAGGAGGACACATCCAAAATGAGGAGGGCAGGGAGGATAGAAAGAGAGAGCATTTTGAAAGTGCAGAGCAATCACCAGCGATAACCTTCTGTCAGCTTTCTTTGTTATCCTCTGGTGTAGAGGTCAGGGCAGGGACCAGATTTTACCTCAGGTTCTAATTCAAATGGGTTGGTAATGGGTACATGGAATACTTTGTTGAAATACATTATGAAACCACATTCCTGCTCAGTGGGAAACTTGCTGTAATTGACTAGCAATGTCTGCCATGGCTCTGGGAAGCCTCGGTGCTGGTGTGAGCGCTGTGAATCTGCTCCAGATCAATGCCTCTACTCCCACCTCAGAGTTTTTGACATGGAAACCCATAAGGAAATGAGGGCTGAAAGGGATATCTGACATGGACTGTGGCAGACCTTACCAACTTTCATTCACTTTTTTTTTTTTTGAGGTGGAGTCTCACTCTGTCACGCAGGCTGGAATGCAGTGGCGGGATCTCAGCTCACTGCAACCTCCACCTCCCCAGTTCAATCGATTCTCCTGCCTCAGCCTCCCAAGTAGCTGGGATTACAGGCATGTGCCACTACACCCAGCTAATTTTTGTATTTTTGTAGAGATGGGGTTTTACCACGTTGGTCAGGCTGGTTGAGAACTCCTGAGCTCAAGTGATCTGCCCGCCTCGGCCTCCTGAAGAAGAGCCCTGTTCCAGCTGCTGAAGTGGTGTCCTCAGAGAGCATCCAGGTGTCAGGCCCTTGGGCTGAGCCCTGCCTCACCTGCAGAAGACCACCTTGCCC